TTTAGTTAGCGAAGGGATTTCGCTATTTTATATCATTAATTTTACTAATTTACTTTTTGTATGAATGATTAATCGTAATATAAATTAAACTGCACCACATATTTTATATATATATATATATGTGTGTGTGTGTGTGTGTGTGTGTGTGTGTGTGTGTGTGTGTGTGTGTGTATAACTTTCATAAAAATGAAACTGAATGTACCCCATTTATATGGCCATTTCGCTCCTCGAGAGATTTCTCTCTTAGAGAAATTACCTGGAGCGTATCAATGTTACACGTTTATCAAATGTGTTAGTATTGACAAGCTATTAGTTATGTAATTCATTTATATACTCTTTTGTGGATCAGTCGAAATATTTTATATTATAAAGATCCACTTAGATTACTTACCCACGGATTTTTACCTATATATTTATATATTTATATACAATTTAGTACTCTTATGCCAAAAAATTTTAAAAACGAATAACATTTTTGATCTTGTATATAAATACTTGTCACAAAATAAAATCCTCGCATTTGGCTTGATAAAGTCCATCAGAGAACAAAACGCTTCGGTTAAGATAAATCTTCCTCTTGTCTGTGTGTATATTATCTTTTTACAGAAATAGCCTATCTGAAATTTTGACACACACCCGTACATATATATCACACACACAGACATATATATATATATATATATATATATATATATATATATATATTTATTTAAAGACATATTTTATGTTTAACGTTGTTATTTTATAGATACTAACGTTAAACATAAAATATGTCTTTAATAAATAAATTGTCGGACCATGTCCATTTCTTATATATATATATATATATATATATATATATATATATATATATATATATATATATATAACAAAATTAGAAACGCCATTTTCTTATCAATATAAAGATCAGTTACGATCACAAAAGAATATATCATTACTATCGAATATTGCTGGCATGTTTAGTCTGTTGCTTCTGCTATTTATCTAAAGATTGTTTTAAAAAAATCCAAAGAAGAATCTGCAATGTTATTGGTACTGACGTGACATCTCGGTTTTAGTCACTTTTCTACCGCAGTAACATAGATTCCCTGTGTATTTACTATAAATATTTTCATCGTAATTTTTCTGATTTGCTTTCCTCTTTTGTATCTCAACTTCGGAATTTAATTCCAGTGCTAGATTGGCAGTTATGTCTCATCATTCACTGTTGAAATTGCTAGATATCACCGTAAGTTCTATGCTAATAGTTTCTTTTCCCTCACTTCTTTCAAGCGAAACTCTCTTCCGACGTCTTGCTTTCATGTCAGTTAGGATCTTCAAAAGTGTAAATGGAACATCAATCGCCATCTATCTTCTTCAATCATTGATTTTCATTTTCTTCTCGTTCTTTTATTCTCAGTAACTACTTGCATCTCATTAGCTTTTATCCCCTTTCTTGGGGTGAAATAATAAAAAAATACAGTTGCATATGATCACACAACGGCCGAGTTCATTGTTAGGGATGTAGGGATAAAAACGGCGATTCTCTCTCTCTTTCGTTGAGAGCGTCACATAGGCAGCATTACGGCCGGTGAATGACGTCAGAGGATAGAGTGAAGAAGAGCAGTTGCAATGTAGAGCCCAGAGAAGAAGGACGTCCCTAGCCCACAGCGATAGGTCTTACAGAAGAAAAAAAAACACATGGCCTAACCAGGTCCATAGAGAAACTGCCGTAACTGTAGCTTTCCGTTCGGGAAATATTACAAGTAAGGTTCCCCTTTCTTACACGTTGTTGCATATATATATATATATATATATATATATATATATATATATATATATATATATATATATATATGTATATATATATTTTGCATATATGTTATAATTTCTCTGCGTGGGACTGTGGGGAAAATTGTGAAAATGGCTTACCTCGGAAACGCGTTCGAATCTGCGCAGTATGCAAACTCTTGTCCTTCCAACTGTAAAAGAAAACCAAAATGGCGGCGCCCACGTTTTATGCCGGGCGGTCTCGGTTAGTTAACGCGAAATCTCGTTGTCTTGTCATTCGCATGCAAATCGTGGTCGGTCCGCGGCTGTATAAAGCAGGCTCGTTTTGCTGTTTCAGATCAGAAGGCTTTCGGCTCCTGAGAAGGTTGGACGTGCGACACCGGTTTTTTTTGTGTCTACCTGCTATCATCAGTTGAATTGTTGAGTTACACACCACAAGCTATTTCGGCAATGGACAAGTTCGATCTAAAATTGATCCCAGAATTCGACGGCTCCCCCACGGGCCCGACTATCGTCGAATGGTTTGAAAAGGCCGAACGTGTTTGCAGGGTGTCCAAAATAAAGGATCCGGTGCGACTGAGAGATGGAGCAAGAGTTCTTGGCTTGCAGGTCTGGGAAGAAAATGGCACCCTCCGATGGAAACGAGGAAGTCAAATTCCGGAAGCCCCTGATGTGTTGACCCGGCGGCGCGTATTTTCATTGTGTGGGAAACTTGTTGGACACTTCCCAGTGTGTGGATGGCTCAGGGTGGCAGTTGCATTCATCAAGCGCCTGGCAACCGCAGCAACCAATGGATGGGATGATGACATCAAAGATCCCTCTCTCTGTCGCATACTAGCAGAGATGTTAAGTAGAGTGCGGGAACTGGATCCCGTCGGAGGAGACTGGTGCATGAGTGGTGACGAGATCACAGTCTGGGTGGATGCGAGTTTCGTGGCGACAGGAGTGGCATTGGAAGTAAACGGAAATGTCATCGAAGATGCGTGCTGGCTGCGTCCGACTAATGATGCCAGGCATATTAATTTGGCTGAACTCGATGCGGCGCTTAAAGGAGTGAATCTAGCTCTCCAGTGGGAGGCGACAACGTTGCACTTGGTCACTGATTCGGCGTGTGTGCACCGGTGGATTTCAGACACCTTGACCGGGAAGGCACGGGTGAACACAAGGGCGGCTGGTGGGATGCTGGTCAGGCGACGGCTGGGCATTTTGCGATCGCTGGTGGACGAATATGGATTGACCGTAGACGTGACACTCGTGCAGTCCTGTCAGAACCGTGCAAATCGCCTCACCAGAGTACCGCAGAGGTGGCTAGAACCGCTCAAGAGAGGAGAACCGGCACTCGAGAGCTGTGCAGTGGCAGGGAGACGACTGGATGAGGACCAGGTTGCCAATACGCATCGTCAATGCGGACATCCGGGCGTGAAACGAACTCTGTACTTCGCCAGGTTAGTCGACCCGCAGGTGTCCAGAGAAAGCGTTAAATCCGTTGTGAAGGCCTGCACAACCTGTCAGTCGATCGATCCGGCACCCGTTCACTGGGGAAGAGGAGAACTGAGCGTGAAGAGCAACTGGAGCAGACTGGCAATGGACATAACTCACTACAATGGTTAGAATTTTTAACACTCATTGATTGCGGTCCTCCAGGTTTGCGGTATGGCGGCCGCTGCGCAGACAAGACGCGAGCACCGTCATTCGACTGTTGGAGAATGTTTTCCTGGAGCGAGGCCCACCCGTGGAAATACTGACGGATAACGATACTGCGTTCACCAGTAAAGATTTTAAAGAATTTGCGGACACTTGGGACGTGCATCTGCGGTTTCGATGTGCCTACTCGCCAAGTGGAAACGGCATCGTGGAGCGGAACCACAGAACCATCAAGACCATCGCAGCCAGGAAGGGCTGTACAGTATCGGAGGCGGTTTACTGGTATAATGTCGCCCCGAAAGATAACATTTCACCATCCACGGCGCCAGCTGATGCACTGCACAAATATCATGTCCGTGTGAAAGGCATCGAAGCCAACCCGCTGCCTGAACTAGAAGTGACTGGAGGGAGATTGAAAAAAGGAGACGTTGTTTGGGTCAAAAACCCACGCGGCAAGTGCACGACAAAATACGGCACTGGACGTGTTACGGAGGTGATCAGCCCGCAATCTGTGAGAGTTGATGGAGTGCCTCGTCACATTAAAGACTTGCGACCGGTGATGCAATCACCACCGCTACCGAGCGATGAAAGCGATTCAGAGTCTGGGAGTAGTGAGCGTTCAATCTGCCTTGAGTTAGACCTGCAGGGCAGTGATTCTAATAACAGCAGCTTCCCGGCGGACACAGTGTTTACCGACACTCAAACCACAGACGAGAACACGGACGAGGATGAAGCTTGTGTTATCCCCCTTCGGAGGGGGACTCGACGGCGACGATCGCCACCTCCCTGCCCTGTTTGTGATCATGAGATCAGGGGTGAGTGTGGGGAAAATTGTGAAAATGGCTTACCTCGGAAACGCGTTCGAATCTGCGCAGTATGCAAACTCTTGTCCTTCCAACTGTAAAAGAAAACCAAAATGGCGGCGCCCACGTTTTATGCCGGGCGGTCTCGGTTAGTTAACGCGAAATCTCGTTGTCTTGTCATTCGCATGCAAATCGTGGTCGGTCCGCGGCTGTATAAAGCAGGCTCGTTTTGCTGTTTCAGATCAGAAGGCTTTCGGCTCCTGAGAAGGTTGGACGTGCGACACCGGTTTTCTTTGTGCCTACCTGCTATCATCAGTTGAATTGTTGAGTTACACACCACAGGGACACGTGTATATGTGTTATGTGTAGATATCTAACTTTGTGTACGACGTAGCATTATAAAACTTCTCTGGGAACAAATTATATTTGTCATTCCTTTCCCTTTCAGCTACTCCGTTCCGTCCATGAATTACGGTTTTATTGTATCACAGATATAATAATGCCCATAATGGGGGAAATGTAAATGGGTGAATAAATCTTTCTCCCATAGCTCTTTCTCTCGTTACATATTAAAATACGTGAGCAACGACACCCGTAAAATACAGTGTTATCACAGATATAATAATGCCCATAATGGGGGAAATGTAAATGGGTGAATAAATCTTTCTCCTATAGCTTTTTCGTTACAGGGACAAGGAAATGAAGAAACAGAAAGCAGAAAACTGATCATTACATTGGTTGGTTTAAACCACTCCCACTAATGTTCACGTTTATTCATTTCAGGTATTCAAGAGACCTCATACCGACGCGTTGTGGATAAAGTGGATCTCAAGAATTCTTTTATAATAGAAGGCGCCACTGTGTTCCAAAAATCTGACCATGAAAACGCCACAGGTGAGCCACATCGTCATTTTCTTTCAGTCATAAAGTCAGGTCTATAAAACCTAAAACACCCAATGATCCTGAACAAGAATGCACATGACGCGCCCCGGTTCATCACTTGTGATAAAAAAAATGCAATTAAATATAAAAAGCAACTTTTTTAAAAAGTTATCTACCTTGCACTTGCGATGCCAGGTAGCAGTGTCTTCTTATGACAATGGTGGACATTTCCACGATATCTACCAAGACAATTTTTTCTCGCCAGAATCTGTTTAACATAGTTATAGGTCTACAATTCGTCCTTGCTTTAAATATTGCACACACATCTGGTCTGGTGCTCCTGCTATATATTTAGAAATCCTTGATAAAATACAAAAACGAATCTGCAATATTATTGGTTCTGGCCTGGCATCTCGGCTTTAGCTCCTTTTCCATCGCCGTAACGTAGCTTCCCTCTGCCTTTTCTATAAATACTTTCAATGTAATTGTTCTGATAAACCTTCCACTATCGTACCTAGACTAGAATTTAAGCGCAGTACTAGATTGGCGGTCAGGTCTCATAATTTTACAGTTGAAATGGCTAAATGTAACCGTAAGTTCTATGCTAACAGTTTCTTCTACCACAATTCTCACTTGTGAAACTCTCTTCTGGTTGCTAGCTTCCTTGTCAACTTTGATCTTCATTTAAAACGTAAATGCAATGTCAATCGTTATCTTCTGTCTTCTTTTTCTTTTATTGTCCTGTACCCTTTATAATATATTTTCTCGTAGTATCTAAAACTAAATAACCTCTGGGCTCTTAGTGGCTTTACTGCCTTGCTTGGGGTGAAATGGTTTTAAAAAAAGTAAGAAACCTAATCTTTTCAGAAATGAAGAAATGCCTTAAAGCGACAGAAACAAAAGTTGAAGATATAAAAGAGAACATGTGACAAATAAGGAAGTTTTAAAGAGAACTGAAATTACAAAAAAAATCTATTGTCAACAAGCACATAATGAGGAAGAAAGGCTTAGTGAAATTAATATCCTCAAGGTTCTCCAATGGTAAAATAAACAGAAGGAAACGGCAAGTTTGAAGGAAGTATGAGGTCAGTCAGTCAGTTATATGCCATACGTGATACACGCTTAGGCGATCATGTATCTTTCGTTAGTTTGCTATTTTTTCCGTGGTAGACCAGTTGTCATCCAAGTCTATAGAACCTGGTCTTTCCTGCTAATTACCAATAGCTGGGAGAAGAAGAGGATTCATACTTTTCCCAATTATATTAGCACGTAAGGAAGAGATGGGAATATCTTCGTGGTAAATTTGTCAGCCATCTTTTTATATTGACCATTTTAAGTTTGGTTATTTAATGCTGACAAGATTTTTATTGCTAGTAATATTTTTTTAAAATCAGTAATGGATCCGACTGGGATTCGAACTCGCCTCTCCGATTCCTCAATCCGAGCCGCTACACATTACACCACCGTAGGTAACAAATAACACAAAGACAAAAAGGAATCTTAAACAAGTAAACATTATTGAAAGCAACAAATTAAATTAAACTGTAAAGAACCACATCTTGAAATGACATGACACATAAAGAAAAAGATGGGAATATCATCGTGGTAAATTTGTCAGCCATCTTTTTATATTGACCATTTTAAGTTTGGTTATTTAATGCTGACAAGATTTTTATTGCTAGTAATATTTTTTTTAAAAATGTATTGCTGCTAATATTTTTCTCCAAAATATATTGCTATGTATAGAATATATTGGTAAAATATATTGGTAATATTTATTTTCTTCAAAAATGTATTGCTAGTAATAATTTTTCCTCAAAAAATTTATTGCTGGTATTAAAACCAATTTTTACATTTTCCTGGTGTTTTGACCCCAGTTTGGTGGTTAACTATTTGCCATAACAGGTGCTACCACCAGCAATTAAAAGTCGGTTCTACGCTCCTCAAAACCTCCTGATCAGAAGACTTGCTGCCGGATGTAGTTTATCGTCATACCCAGGACGCGGATGTCTTTTATTATCTTACCCAGGACGCAGATGTAGTTTATCGTCATACTCAGAACGGGACTATTTTAGTTAGTTCTTCTATAGGGTACATTCTATAACCGATGTTATTCAACACGTATAGCGAGGAGATTATGTGGGATACATTAGAAGAAAAGAGGTTTGGAGTTAAGATTGGCAGGAAAGAACATTGATGACATCCGATTTGCTGATAATACAACCCTCTTCTCGATGAGAATACCGTGATGACGTTACTACAAACGGTAAGTGATTCCAGTGCCCAGCGTGGTCTTCTGCTAAACACCAAGAATGTAAATGTAAATGGTGATTGATACGGGCCGCATAGACTTCATCTACGCGGGAGATCAAGAGAAGGTTGGCAATAGCAAGAAGTACAACGACAAAAATGGGAACCATCTGAAATAGTCGGAAATTGGGGAATCGGAGAGCCGAGTTCGAATTCCTGTCGAATCCATTACATTCACTTACGGGCTAATACCCTTGGGAAAGGTATGAATCCTCTTTTCCTCCCTCCCCCAGCTATGGGTGAATAGCAGGACAGACCGGGTTCTATAGCCTTGGATGGCAATTGGTCTACCGCAGAAAGAAATGGCAACCTACTGCGAGAATAAAAATCTGCCTCGTCAGTCATGTATTGAAAGATACGTGATCGCCTAAGCCTGTATCACGCCTGGCACATAACTGTCTGACTAAAGTTGAAATTACTACAAGACACTGAATTCGTCATCGCCAACTACGAATGCGAGTCATGCGCACTGATTAAGCGGGAAAGACATTGGATTGATGCCTTCGAGATGTGAGCATAACGTAGGGTTCTTAGAGTGCCATGGATAGCTAGACGCCATCATGACAAATGCGCATCGAGAAAGCAGATGACGCTAAGGAAGTTCCGTTATATTATGCGAGGAGACAGCTTCGATAAGGACATTCTGTTGCACCCAGTAGGAGCCAAGCGGCGCCAGGGGCGACCACCCATGACTTCGTTTGAGGATATTAAAAAGTGGACTGGAAAGACAATGGCTGAGGCTGTCAAGGCAGCATGAAACAGAAAGAGATGGCGGGGTGGTGACCACAGCGACGCAAAATGTGCTAATCGAATATATGTTGGTGATTGTGCTTACTTTTTCTTCTTTTTTCTTTTCTTTTTTCTTTTTTTATTTCTTCTCTCTTCTTTTTCACTTTTTCTTTTTTTCCTTTCCTTTCCTTCATTTACTTTTCTTTTTCTTGTATCTTTTTTATTCTTCTTTGTGTTTTTGTTTTTTCTCTTCTTTTTTTTTCTTTTTTTCATGTTTTCTTCATTTTTCTTTTTTTAATTCGTTTTTCTTTTTCCAGTCGCATTCTAAAATTAAATTATAATCTTATTCTATCAATTTATGATTATAATTCTTCGTTCTATTCATTAACTTCTTTGCTTTACGCATCATTAAACTCAACTTCATTACTTTGTAATCTCCTTCACTTTTTTATTATACTGGTGGATTTTTCTTTCCTCTTTATTTTACTCAGCAACTTGTTCCGATATGAAAAACGCCAAAGAAGGAAAGACAAGAGGATGATAAAAAATGGGAACCATATATAAGAGTCAGAATATACACATCAGCCTAAAGTTGAAATTACTACGAGATACTGCTTTCGCCATCACCAGCTACGGATGCGAATCATGGGCACTGACCAAGCGGGAAAGACATTGGATTAATGCTATCGAGATGTGAGCGTCTCGCAGAATCCTTAGAGTGCCATGGACAGCGAGACGTACTAATACGTACTAATAAGTGGTTGCTATATACTATCATAACACGTTGAATTTTTGTTCCTTGCCCGGGTGTACGCGCTCGGGCTTTCCACATTAAACCGACCTTGTGTCACAACCTGACCTTGTGGGGGGTTGATTAAATATCTACTATCATAACACATGCGCATTGAGAAAGCAGATGGCGCTAAGGAGGTTCCGTTATATTAAGCGACAAGACAGCTTCGATAAGGACATTCTGTTGCATCCAGTAGAAAACAAACCAGAGACGACCACCCATGCCTTGGTTTGAGGATATTAAGAGGTGGACTGGAAAGACAATGGCTGAGGCTGTCAAGGCAGCATCAAACAGAAAGGTGGAGGTTTCTCCATAAATTGTATTAAGCTCTGCCTGGGATCTCCAACTGATGTTCTGGATTTTTCTCAGTAAATTTTTATATGTCCCCTCCAGTCGTCCTTCAAGACGAATAGATAATGTCCAAGTTGATCTATACAGGAGGATTTGTTCAATCAATGTTTGAAAGGTTTGGACTTTTAAGTAGGATATAAAATTCGCGTGCCAAATCTTGTGAAGTTTGTTACCCATGTCCCAAGCAAGAGCTTTGCGGATGTTTAGGTATTTTGGGGTATCTATTAGGTGAGATGCAAGATATTTGAAATCCTCAACTCTTAATGGATTTATTATTGAGTGACTTCAACTCGGATGGTTCAGGGGAGGTTGGGATATATTCTATCTTACTCATGTTGCAATAACCCACCTGGTTCGCTGCTTGCTCGAGTGATAGTTGATAAGATAACGAGGGTCACAAAGCACTACCAGCCCGCCACCCAATTTAGTTTGCTTCCAGGTCGGGTGTTTCGGGGGTAGTACATACCGGTGCTGGTAACCACCACACATTACCGGCGCAGCGTGACGTATACTAAATGGAGAAGAGGGAGTAAAGTTAATCCCAACGCTGTGTAAAAGCCACAGTACATTGTCAAAACCAAGTATCATTGCGAATGCTGGATTTGATACGTTCTATAAGATTTGAAATATATTTTTTAAAGTACGGTTTAAAAATAAATAGTATGATTTAAAAGAAAAATAGTATGATTTTAGCAGTAACAGGAGGAACTACTGTGTGAGCGTTACCAGAAATTAGCACGAAAACGTTGATTACGGCTTTCTTTTAAAGACTACCCGAGCAGTAACGAAATGTATTGACTAGCGTATGGATCTACATAAACATTGATTCTCGTAAAATGCATCGTTCAAATACATTTCGACCGTAGTCAGGATCATCGAATCATTGCTAACGATCCTTTCCTTAGTTACATAGTATGTGCATCGCCAAGGCTACATACGCTTTTGAATTCAGAGTTTTCCTTCTCCTAGACTGGTTGCCACCAAAAGCTATAGAACTCGGCCTATCTTGCTATTTACACAAAGCTTGAGGGATAGATTCATACCTATCTCAAGACTATTAGCACGGAAGTGAATGTAATGAACTCGACTGGAATTCGAACTCGACTCTCCAAATCCTCCAAATCCTAGCCGGGATCTGTTCCAGCTATGCTGTCGAACTCTCTGCCCGAATCACCAAGTCAGACGAGGCTATGCCGAACAGCAGAGTCTCGTCCTGGGAGGCAGACAGACCCGAACGTGTTTATGCGGGTTCTACGGGGAATTTCTGACCGATCCTACGGACTCGAACGACTCACGCTAAACTCGGACTTTTGCCACATCTAACCTCGAGGGGGTACTAAATATCGACACTCCAAATCCTCAGTCCGAGACGCAATCCATTACTCTACGTTTTGTTATAATCTTTTATTACTTTTTTTTTTTACTTGTTTGTTTTATGCTTTTGTCTCCGTTCTGCCTTTGATTTATATTTGAGATGACTGTCGATAATGAATGTCTCTTCAGTGAACGAAATGTTAAAGAATAATTCCTGCACTCGTACACATTTCCGAACGTACACGAAGGCCACTTTACCTCAGCGCTTCCACTTCACCAACAACGGGCAAATAGGGGACGTCATCCTTACATTAGATGATGGTTGGCTGATTAAACAGTAAGTAATATTCAAGTCTGCTATCAGAGCGAGAGATACAAATAAAGAAATTCATATATATATATATATATATATATATATATATATATATATATAGACTAAGTAAAGGCATTTGATGAGTTAGGACTCAAGTGTGAAAGTGCTGTGTGATTGCCCCACTCGTCTACTGATGAACTTAACGCCCGCGAGATACCGTTGCCAAAAATAAAGCAGTCTAAAAGAAAAGGGTTAAACTCTCCTCTCTCACTCATTCAGTCACGCACTCACTCATTCGCTCTCACTCTTCTTTTTCTTTCTTTCTCTCTCTCTCTCTCTCTCTCTCTCTGTGTATCTCTGCCACTCTGTCTCTTCTTCTCTCTCTGACACTCTCTGTATCTCAATCTCTTATTTTCTCTCTTTTTCTCGCCCACTGTCTCTGTCATTATGTGTTTCTCTTCTTCACTCTTTCTCTCACTCTCGGTCTCTCACACTCTTCTTCTTCTTCTTTCTTTCTCTCTCTCTCTCTCTCTCTCTCTCTCTCTCTCTATGCCACTATCTGTCTTTCACTCTCTTCTTCTTTTCTGTCACTCTCTCTCTCTCTCTCTCTCTCTCTCTCTCTCTTCTTCTTCTTCTTCTTCTTCTTCTTCTTCTCCTTCTTTCTATGTCACTTTTTACCTTTTATGGAAAGCTTTCCAAAAACGGAAAGTGAAGTAGAGTTTCATTAATTGCAATTTTGAATAAAATCGTTTAGTGCCATCATTGTTAACAGTGTATAATAAATATTTATTACTCTACTTTTGTATTGAACCCTGTTTTAAATTAATGTTTTGAACGTTGGAATTTTATTCTTTGTTCTTTTTATATATATATATATATATATATATATATATATATATATATATATATATATATATTATCCTGAATGGATAAATACACAGCAATATATAAGAAATGAGGAAGACCGTATCATCCAAAGAGCTTGATTCATACATTTCCCAAGGTCATTTGCGCGTAAGTGAACTTGGCTCCCCGATTAACAATTCCGAGCCGTTATCCATTATACCACCCGCACATCCAAGCTTGAACCACCTGATATTCCCAAGCGGTCACCCATCTAGGTACTGACGTTGCTTAACTTCGATGATCGTGCAGGAACCGGTGCTTCAACGTGTGTGGCCTTAAATCGACTGCTGCGAGGAATTGTAATCAACGTGTGGTCCTGTATTAGTTAACACTCAACGAACTAAAACAACAACAAAAATCCGGACAATGGGTGTTGCCGGACCATTGAGATTTGACTAAAGACGTCGAACTGTAATGAAAATTATATTTTATCCCTTCGAAAAATAAATTACGATTTACGTATTAAATTACGACGAAAAGTTTGCATCATTTTAGGCTTTGATATTTATTTTCTCTGTACTTATATTCTGTTGTGATGTTCTCTTTGTTTAAAATAGCCGAGAATTAGGAAAGCCGTAGTTAGTATATCTAAGGAACTTAAGAACAGGCAGGGAAAACAAAGGAAAAAGGTTTATTAAACACTGAAATATAGAACAGAAAAAAAAACCTTAAGTAAATCAACTACTCCTGAAATCCTACTCTAATGTGACGAGTAGGAACAGTCCATTATCACGGTAGTAGGGAAGTGCAGGAAGTACGCTGAGTCCTACTCTACAACATATTCAACATATTCAAAGCTACCTTAAACTTTTATCGTACATTAATACATTAAACATTACGTCACGAATCCCCTAAACAATAAGGACTGTAGAAGCATGACATGAAGAAGAGTGGAGCATACAACGGTTGAAACGTCGTGATAATAACAACAAAAATAAGATTACATCTGTCTATATTTCTGAAATGGGGTATTATAACTATTTACATAAATGGTTTAATACAAAATTCCAAATATCACCTGAAGAAGGCCAGGGTGTACGACGGTCGAAAGGTCGTGAATATGACAATAAAGATAAGGACAACAGTCCGAACAATGTAAATAGTATAAATGGGGATAATATAAATGATAATAAATAAAATATAACGAAGAAGAAATCAGGTAGAAACTGGAATTTTCACGAGAATTTTCTCTAGTCGCTGTTAAAACACTTCCAGTATTTGTTTATTTTGGCATCGCCAACTTGTAGTTCGCATCTTTTGCTGTTCTCCTCCTTGACGACAGAGTTGTTAAATTGTTCTCTCTCCGACCATGAGAACTGGTTTCGAATCTCACCATAGTCGATTTGTTAGGACGATGACTTCTTGATTTCAGTGGAAATTCTTTAATACCGAATTTCCGAAGGAAGATCCCTCATTCGCATTCTTTAATTCCGGTTTTTCTTAATATTTGTCTTTCATCATCATCATTATTACTATTATTATTATTATTATTATTATTTCGTTAATAATTTCTTGTCTTTTTTAGAAAATACAAACTGCCAAAATCTACTCACGGTTATGACAACAGATTTGACAGCATGCAGGTAACATTTGGGAAATATATTTGGCTCCTCTTTCTCTGTGTGTGTGTGTGTATGAGAGAGAAAGAGAGAGAGAAAGAGAGTTGTGTGTGTATGTGTGTTTAGTCTCTTCTTTTTTTGCTGTTGGATTTCTTACTCTTTCTATGCTATTTTTATCGGTTTTTATTCATTTTTTTCTTCTATTTTTCTTTTTACTCTCAGTTGTTATTTTTGCTTGTTTTCGTTTTTCCGTTTTTTTTTCTTTGCTGTTGCTATTGTTTTTTGTTTGTTCTTTTTTTTTCTTTGCTGTTGGTATTGTTTTTTGTTTGTTCTTTTTTTTTCTTTGCTGTTGCTATTGTTTTTTGTTTGTTCTTTTTTTTCTTTGCTGTTGCTATTGTTTTTGTTTGTTCTTTTTTTTCTTTGCTGTTGCTATTGTTTTTCGTTTGTTCTTTTTTTTCTTTGCTGTTGCTATTGTTTTTTGTTTGTTCTTTTTTTTCTTTGCTGTTGCTATTGTTTTTTGTTTGTTCTTTTTTTTTCTTTGCTGTTGCTATTGTTTTTTGTTTGTTCTTTTTTTTCTTTGCTGTTGCTATTGTTTTTTGTTTGTTCTTTTTTTTTCTTTGCTGTTGCTATTGTTTTTTGTTTGTTCTTTTTTTTTTCTTTGCTGTTGCTATTTTTTTTTTTGTTTTTTTCTTTTTTTTTTTTTTGTTTGTTCTTTTTTTTTTCTTTTGTTGCTATTTTTTTTTTGTTTGTTCTTTTTTTTCTTTGCTGTTGCTATTGTTTTTTTGTTTGTTCTTTTTTTTTCTGTTGCTTTGTTTTTTGTTTGTTTTTTTTTTTTTTTGTTTGTTTTTTGTTTTTCTTTTTTTTTCTTTGCTGTTGCTATTATTTTTTTTGTTTGTTCTTTTTTTTTTCTTTGCTGTTGCTATTGTTTTTTGTTTTGTTCTTTTTTTTTCTTTGCTGTTGCTATTGTTTTTTTGTTTGTTCTTTTTTTTTTTTTTGCTGTTGCTATTGTTTTTGTTTGTTCTTTTTTTCTTTGCTGTTGCTATTGTTTTTTGTTTGTTCTTTTTTTCTTTGCTGTTGCTATTGTTTTTTGTTTGTTCTTTTTTCTTTTTCTTTTTTTGTTTTGTTTTTCATATTTTCTTTTAATGTATTTCCCTTTCTTTTTCTTTTGATGTTTTTTTTTTCTTTTGCTATTTATCTTTCTTTCGTCTTTTTTTTGTGTTTTTCTTTTTTTTTTTTCTTTTGATGTTTTTTCTTTTTTTGTCTTTTAGTGTTTTTTCTTTCTTTTTCTTTTGGTGTTTCATCTTCTCGTTTTTTTTTATTTTGGCTACATTTTATTCTTTTTTTTCATTTATGTTATTTTTTTTTTTTCATTTTTTCTCTTTTTGTCATTTATTCTTTTGATTGATTTCCTCTTCTTTTTCTTCTTTTTTTCGTTTTTCTTTTTCTTGTTTTCTTTTCTTGTCTTTCCTTTCTTTTTTATGCATTTGTGTTTTTATTTCTTCTTTTCTTTTCCGTTTTTGTCTTCTTTCGCCGTGTTTTTGCTTACTGGCCCGACGTCTTCTGATCACTGCCTTTCTTCTTATAAACGTTGACTTAACTTGAAATGCCGAAATCTTCAACGTTTAGAAAATTAAAAATATTCTCCCCGTGACATTTAAAATGCTATTGATAAAAAAAAAACTGGAATAAAACCTATAAAATGTAGATTTCTGTACTCCTATCCCGATAACATCTCCACAAAAAAAAAAAAAAAAAAATAGACCTACAATACCAAGCCTTGCCCGCTGGGGGTAAGTATACAGCGACCGAATCAACGTGTTGAGAGATAACACCGTACAAAAAGTGGCCACCTGTTTGACAACCTATGTGTACCTTTTCGACATTGGATCTATATTTACCTTTTTCACTCTTGTGAAGTCCAAACCAATAACTTCCTTTTTGACTCCCATGAAGATTGGATCTGTACCTATCTTTTTGTCTCCCGTGAAGACTGGATCTGTGCCTATCTTTTTAACTCCAGTGTAGATTGGATCTCTGCCTACCCTTTTGATTCCGGTAAAGACTGATCCTGTTGTTATGAATAATCAAGAGTGTCCTCCCCTTGTTTTGTTACTCTCCTCTTTGAGAGAGCTATTTCTGTTTACTGGGACTATAAAAGGACACTATACGCGAATCTTTTATTCTCTGTTGAATAAAGCTTCCTTAAAGCCTACACCTGCGTACTTTCGTCATGACACCTATGTCAACAGTTTTTTTACTGTCGTGGAGACGGGACCTGAGCCTATTTTTTTTTTTAACTGAATTTTAAAACCGCATCTGGCGTCCTGGGTATGACGATAAACTACATCCGCGTCCAGGGTAAGACGATAAACTATATCCAACAGCAAGGCCTCTGATCAGGAGACTTTGAGGAGCGTATAACCACCTCTTAATTGCTGGTGTTCCCAGGTCCACCCTAACCCAGGGTTGTAGTACCTGATAGGGTCCCAGCTATGGGCAAATGGTTAACCCCGATACTGAGGTAAAAAGCATTATAAAAGTGTAAAAATAGGTTTTGATACCAGAAATACTTTGTAAAAATTATTACCAGAAATAAATTTTTGAAGAAAAAGAGGTATTACCAGCAATACGTTTTTGAAAAAAAAAACTATTACCAGCTATACGTTTTTGAAAAAATAGTATTAACAGCTATACGTTTTTGAAAAAATATTATTACCAGGTATACGTTTTTGAAAAAATAATATTACCAGCTATACGTTTTTGAAAAAATAATATTAACAGAAATAGATTTTTGACAAAATAAAAATATTAGCAGGAAAAATAAAAAAGTTGTCGGCATTAAATGACCCATTGAAGTTGATATGCCGTAAAACAAAACAAACCAAACCAAATCAAAACCGCAACTGTTTATCTTTTTGACTCCCGTACAAATTGAACGTGGCCATCTTTTTTATTCTCGTCCAAATTAAATCCATATCAAACTTTTTGCCTCTCGTGCAAAATTTCCACCATTTTTTTTTCTGATCAAAATGACAGAATTCGGCAGTAAATAATCTGGAAAGCTTCATACACTATAAGACAAAACAAATTAAATACTCATTCACATACTAAATTACAATTAGCATTTATTTTCCAGAATTTGAAATGTTATATTTTATTTGCAGTTTTACTTCTAAATGGCTAAGACGATATCCTTGAATGTCCAATTTACACTTAGTTTTAGCATTTTTTTCTTCTTTTTTTTTCTTTTGTTTTTTGTTTCATAGTTTGTTTGTTTTTTTTATATTTCGTTTCAGTCCATATTTCTAGCTTCTGGTCCCAGCTTCCAGTTTAATATGACTATCGAACCTTTTGAAAATATTGAACTTTACAACCTTTTAACAGGTAAAGCATCTATTATTTCAATGTAAATCTTTTGCAACAGTTTCTTTCCCAATGCAGTTTTTTTCAAAAACATACTTATTGGTACCAAGGAAAAGTTTTAGCATTAAAAACATTTTGCTATTCATAGGAAACACAGTGGTGTCTACTTTTTATGTCAATGCTTCTTTATCAGTACCCATTGCCATTAGGAACTGTTCTGTGTAAAACTATAAGTACTATTTTATTTTTAACGTTTCATCGTGAAGATATTCTATAACAGAATAGCAAATTATTCTACTACAAAAATCCAGAGAAAATTTTTTCGAATACAGATACCCAGTGAAATTGTTCTACTACAGAATACATAGCTAATTATTCTCCAAATTCAGTGAAAATTATCCCATTACATAAATTCATAGCAAATTATACTTCTACAGAAATCCATAGTAAATTATTCTACTATTGAAATTCAGTGCAAAATATTCTACTATAGAAATCCATTGCAAGTTATTCTACTACAGAAATTCCCAGCAAATTATTCTTCTACAGAAATCCATAGTAAATTATTCTACTATTGAAATTCAGTGCAAAATATTCTACTATAGAAATCCATTGCAAGTTATTCTACTACAGAAATTCCCAGCAAATAATTCTATAACATAATAACCTGCTTCTACAATGCTAGGAGGTTTTCTCTCTCTTCAGATAAAAGGACACTGCGCTTCTAGGCCTGCCTCTCGGTGGATTTTACTTTGCGTCCCGTCACTAATGCCAGGCTCCTGGTTCGATTAGTTCTTTCAGGAATCATTTCTCTAGTCAACTGTCATCATATTTCTTTTGAGCCAGATCCAATGGTTCGTCTTGCTCAATTTTTGCTTGGATATCTTTTATTATAGCGCTTAGTTTTCACTGTTTTGTTTCAATGAAGCCCATCCATTTCCGCACGCAATCGCTTACACATCCTCAGCAGCGAACCTCAGCAGGCAACACATTCTATCACCAGACTTTTCTAACACCGCTCCTCTTTCTGGGATCTGAGCAGCTTGTCTTCATATGCAATTGTGAATACAACGATTTGAAAAACCTTCCCGTCGTCACAAAAGGGAAGACCAAAAGAATTTACGCGGGATTACTAGTAAGCCTTTCTTAGGCGACTATTGGTTTCACTTTTTACACTAGACTTTACAAGTTGTTTTCAATCTCTGTTCATTTTACAAGCAGACACTCAAATACAAGAACAAACAAACGAGATTTCACGTGACATGCCTCGTCATTTCTTTCAGGCTCAGCAAAATTTCTAACGTTATATATGTATATATTAGTCTAAATCCCCCCTACAAAAATTTATACACTGTATATCCTAGCTTGACCCAACTCGTGAGGAGCGGCTAAGGGTCAATAAGTAGACGTGGCTCTTGGGGCACTGTTCCGAGGTTATCCGTATACGTGGCTGAGTATCGCTGCGGAATTGAGTGAGTAGCGGCGCTATATCGAGTCTAGTTTGTGTCCTCTTCGGGGTCCGTGGTACAGTTGGTATGACGTTTGCGTTGTATCGAAACGGTCCTGGTTCGATTCTCGGCAGTGGATGCGCACTGTTGATGAGTCCCAAATAGGACAAAACGGCCGTCCAATGCTTTCTGCATTCTGTTGAAGATTATTAGGGCCTCAATGAATTACACTATATATATATATATATATATATATATATATATATATATATATATATATATTACCATAGCACAATTAGGACTCTTTTAAAGAGACACAGAAACCTACCAAACTCCATCCGCAACATACTTGTAGGAAATACTAGTATAATAACCTCATCCACATGGAAAAAAAAAATGGAATCATTAATAATAAAAAAGATAAAGCCAACACTCAATAACATCAGCTATGAACACGGTCACAATTTCCTGAGCGTGTTTGGAAAATTAAAAAAACATCCCCACCACCCTAGAAACAAAAAACTATACATTCAGTTAAAAATTAAAAAAAAAATACAAATCACCTTTGATAATGGTTAATAGAATAGTCGAAAGCGCTTGAATATAGTGATTTTCCAAGCGCAGCTTAGATATGGGACAAGGTCGAAATTAGGGGGCTCCCAGTGAGGATCGAACTCACTACTCAGTCGTAATTGTTGCAGCGAGCCAAGTTGCTAACCATCACACCGCCTCGAGGTGCCCAAAGCGCTTGAATATATAGAACATTTGGACAATTTTTACATACTTTATGTTCAGAAAGGAAAACACTTCTACGAACACAAGAAAAATTTAATAAAAAGCTTATTAATTTAAAAACTTGAAGCTGACACTGAATAGAATCAGCTATGAATTCTGTAATAATGTTATAAAATGGCTATAAAAAAAAGTTTTGATGCTTTAATGCGCACTTGGCCATGACATTCCGACGTAAAAGAAAAAAAAAATTCCATAGTGGATAATTTTTTCACGTTCTAATGAATGCTAAAGCATAACTGCCGGCTATTGCATTTAAGAAAAAAATCAGTAATGGATAGCTACACATAATTTTTGTCTTACTTGTTGCACACCCTGATGATGATCTCAGAAAGAGATGGAAAGTACTTTGGGAAATAAATGATTTTCACTGCTACAGTGCATTTCTTGCATCATTTGATTGTAATACACGGAAATGAATATGAACGGATTATTCTAAAAATGAGCAGATATAATGTTTGTAATTTATTTAATCATATATATATATATATATATATATATATATATATTTCATTTTTGGAAGTGTTATCTGATGATCCAGCGTCGCTTAAAAAGGGCTCTGGGTGAAATAAATTATTATAATGGAACCTTAAAGTGATCTGTTTTTTTCTTTATATATATATATATATATATATATATATATATATATATATATATATATATATAAAGGCTCAAACACTAACATTCCATGGTTATAATTTACTACATTGGGATCGTAATCACGATCCAATTCATCAGACCTATATATATATATATATGAATTTTCAGAAAAGCTTACTACAGCAAGTTATGGCAATCGAATTCAGTATACTGGATTCCCATGTGTTTCTTGGAGTCATCACGAAATAGTGTGTTTCGTTTCGGGGCCTGCTTTTCGACAGATTTTACTGTCTACCGGCTCCACGCATTGATATGACCTCCGACCACTGTAGTAGAGGGATTTGTTATAGACTTCTGTAGTAGAAGGATTTGCCGTGGATTTTTCTAGTAGAATAATTTGCTATGGATTTCTGTAGTTTGCCGCTTGGTAATTACTTCGTATTCTTTGTGGGGCAACATTTTTCGCGCCAACTTACATCCTTCATTCTGAGCTAGATCCAGTAGCTCGTCTTTCTCACTTGATGTTTGAATATCTTGCGCTTAGTTTTGTCTGCTTGATTCCCAACGAATTCCAGCTATATCCGCAATCGAGTGCTTCTGTATCCTCGACAACCAACCTCCACAGTCAAATGCTTAGCCTGCCGACCCGCATCTTCGGATTCGTTCTTCCACAAGCTTTTTCTAACTCCTCTCCGTTCCGGAATTTGAGCGGCATCAGTGTTGTCATGGGAAACTATGAGTTCAGTTTGATGAACAAATATCCTCTCGTCAAACCAGGATACCAAATCCTAGCCTCTGGCTGATTGGTGCACAATACAGAAACTGTCTGTCAGAGCTTGCTCAAACACATTTTAGGTGAAAGATTTAAGAAATCAGTATTTAATTTACTTTTTATTAACCAAAATATTTTATTAGCGTATATAATAACTAACACGAATTTGGTAATGAGATACTTGATTAGGGTTTAAATCAGTGAATGGTTATAAGAAATAACAAAACCTTTATAAGTCTTCTTGATACAAATTCAGCTGATACAACCGCATTAATATTGGATGTGTGGTTGGTGTAATAAATAACGGTTCAGAATGAAACATTGGAGAACAGATATCAAATACAGGTCTTTATCGTTATATTCACTTACACTCAAATACCGTTGGGAAAGGTATGAATTCATCTCAATCTCATCCCCAGCTATGGGTTAACTAGTAGAACTTGTATCTGGAATAATTGTTGTTATCTCTTGGAAATTCTTTAAGGCAAAATTCACTCGCAAAAAAAGGAATTATTCTTACGATTTCAAAAATATGTTTCTGCCTCAAATAACACCTAAAGTGTTGATAAGCCATAAAAAAAACAAATCAGTTTAATGTATCATTTCCACATCACATCACGATCTATAGATTGCAGTAGATAATCTTCAATGGATAATCTGCAAAAAGACATAATCAATGGATTTATGTAGTAGACTAATCTGCAATATATTTCTTCAGTCGAATAGATTGCAATGGATTTCTGCTGGTGGATAATTTGAAATAGGTTTTTATGTAAATAATAGTTTCTAATCGATTTATGTAACAGAATACCATGCGATGTATTCCTTTTACTAGAATAGGTTGCAATGGCTTTTTGTAGCTCTTGCAGCGTGTCTCACTGGCGATGGTTCGAGGTAATGCTTTCTCCATCATTGCTGCTGGCAGAGGTTAGAAAAAAATTGTTTATAGTTACGTTGTTCTGGAATTGTCATCAGTGGTCAACTGTACGTGTTTTGTTTTAATAAAAAATAAGCCACAAAAAAAAACTTTAAAATAAAACTAAAAGGGAATAGAACATCCTTTCGTAATAGATTTCTGTAGTAGAATTATTCGTAATAGATTTCTGTTGTAGAATAATGTGCTTTCTATAAAGAATATTTTGCAAAGGATTTCAGTAGTAAAATAGGGAGCAACGGACTTTTGTAGTAGAATAATTTGCAGTGGATTTCTCTAGTAGAATATTTTGCTATGGATTTCTACAGTATAATAATTTGCAATGGGTTTCTGTGGCAGAATAATTTGCTATCGATTTCTGTAGTACAATAATTTGCAATTTTAACAAAATAATTTGCAAAGAATTTCTATAATAGAATAATTTGCAAAGAATTTCTATAATAGAATAATTTGCAAAGGATTTCTATAATAGAATAATTTGCAAAAGATTTCTATAATAGAATAATTTGCAAAGAATTTCTATAATAGAATAATTTGCAAAGGATTTCTATAATAGAATAATTTGCAAAGAATTTCTATAATAGAATAATTTGCAAAGGATTTCTATAATAGAATAATTTGCAAAAGAATTTCTATAATAGAATAATTTGCAAAAGAATTTCTATAATAGAATAATTTGCAAAAGAATTTCTATAATAGAATAATTTGCAAAAGATTTCTATAATAGAATAATTTGCAAAAGAATTTCTATAATAGAATAATTTGCAAAAGATTTCTATAATAGAATAATTTGTAAAAGAATTTCTATAATAGAATAATTTGCAAAGATTTCTATAATAGAATAATTTGCAAAAATTTCTATAATAGAATAATTTGCAAAAATTTCTATAATAGAATAATTTGCAAAGAATTTCTATAATAGAATAATTTGCAAATGATTTCTATAATAGAATAATTTGCAAAAGATTTCTATAATAGAATAATTTGCAAAGAATTTCTATAATAGAATAATTTGCAAAGGATTTCTATAATAGAATAATTTGCAAAGAATTTCTATAATAGAATAATTTGCAAAGAATTTCTATAATAGAATAATTTGCAAAGAATTCTATAATAGAATAATTTGCAAAGAATTTCTCTAATAGAATAATTTGCAAAAGATTTCTATAATAGAATAATTTGCAAAAGATTTCTATAATAGAATAATTTGCAAAGAATTTCTATAATAGAATAATTTGCAAAGAATTTCTATAATAGAATAATTTGCAAAGGATTTCTATAATAGAATAATTTGCAAAGAATTTCTATAATAGAATAATTTGCAAAGAATTTCTATAATAGATAATTTGCAAAGGATTTCTATAATAGAATAATTTCCTATGGATTTCTATAATATAATAATTTGCAATTTTAACAGAATAATTTGCAAAGGATTTCTTTAATAGAATAATTTGCTATGGATTTTATATATGCTTTTAAAATTTACCGTGAATTACTTATTCAGCGAATATCTTTTTTTGACATTTTTTTCATTATTCTATAGAATTGTTGAGTATCCAACCATTGCCGAACAACGGAACCAAAGGTACATTAAACAAACTGTTAATGAACAGGTCGTCTGTACAACAAATTTCGCCAACAAATTATACTTCCTGCTGCTCAGTGAACTCAAATATCGGAACTGATTGCGCCTATTCTGTGGTAAGTGGGTGACTTTTTTTTAATCATTTAAGCAAGCGGTTTCTGTGTGTAAAAGGATATGATAAAAATGTCCGTGAGGGAAAAGAACAATAAAAGTACAGCGTTCAAGAAGACAGAAGATGGCGTTTGATGTTGCATTTAAACTTTTGAAGATTGTAGATGACATTGAAGCAAGAAACCGGAAGTTAATTCCACAAGTGAGAAGTGCGATAAAATAAACTCTTAGAATAGAACTTAAGGTTACATCTGGTTATTTCAATGGTAAGACGATGATAGTCAAATTGAAACAAATCAGGAGAGTAAGGGGGGAAGAAATTTAAACTCTTTCCCCTTTAAAATGTGTTGTAATGATTTGAAAAGATGATAGTCAGATGGAGCAATCCAAGAGAGTAAGGGGGATGAGGCAAAAACTTCCATATTTTGTCCTTTAGTCTGTTTCTGATTGACTCGTGCAATACGCAACGTAGGAGAAGCGCGCCTTTATGATTAATGAATGATGGGCGACGTTTGAACAAATTTTGTGCAATGTTTCCAGTTGACGACAATATTTGCCCACATGAAATTTTTCTTTAGGGTTTATCTCTTCATCATAGACGACAACCATTATATCCGCCCAAATACAGAGCATAATTTTTTTCGGGTGTAGTCCTGGTCTTGGCATGGATTCTTCTTTGGTAGTGGGTGATAACCATTAACGTATTCGTTGGATATAATTATTAAGAGCTCACTTCTCATCACTGTTGTTCTGTAGCAAGTATACTCTTAAATGACGAGCAGAGAGCCTATATTTGATAAAACTGAGAGGAAGTCGGAGGAAGAGAGACCTACTAACCAAACTACAGACACTTTTCCGAGTTCGTGTAACTTGTAATTAATACTTTGTATAGATTGCTTAGCAGTTTCTACAGTCCGCAGAAGTTCATTATTGACGTCGCCCAGATCGAAAAGAATCTTCAAGCGAAATATGTCCCAATCGAATCTCATTAATCTTTTATTAACATGTCCAGGCACTTAAAACGTAATTTCTAAATTACAATATTTATTTTCGCTTCCGTTGTTGAAGAGTCCTTTCTGAACTCATATATATATTAATTCACGATAAATGCACGCAAATTCCCATGAAAGCATTTTGTGTTTGTTTAAAAGAAACAGCGAACTTAAACGTAAAAGAAACATACATTTTTTTAATACAAATTACACTATGTCAGATATTTTTTATGCAAGTCAACATTCTCACAGTATAATTGGCTTCATTCAATTTTTTTTAATGCCGTGTCGTTCCAAGACGTAGGCAATAATGGGTCTCCAAAGATGTTTTTCTAGGAATTGCCATGACTTCAAAGGGAAAATAATGGAGTGGTTTCCCGTTGCTTTCGCAGTAGGTTGGAAGTTTCTTGTACTTCTCCTAGACTTGATGTCACAAGATATATATATATATATATATATATATATATATATATATGTGTTCATATTCAAACGTTATTACAGTTGATACTTTGTGTTTTAGACAGACATCCCATTTTATTTATTAAAATGTGTGTATTACGGATATCGGCCTGCACATTCAAAAAATCTCAGTAAAGAAAATGCGTTCCCCTTTCTAAGAGAAAAAACCGTTTGATCGGGCGTGCTTTACCGCTCGGCCACGAAGACTATCCCAGCGAACACGGTGATAATCCGTAATTACTGCTTAATAAATATAAATGGGGCTTCTATTTAAAATACGAAGCTTCCACTATAATTACGTTTGATATATATATATATATATATATATGTTTCAGTCCATGGAATTCTCATCATTCTTCGGTGGAATATTTATCTTGCCTCAAGTATCATCTTCTTCTGAGAGGAAATTGATCAGTATTCACTGCGCAAGAGTAGAACCAATATTATAGAACAGTTCAGAACTCTTTTCGTTGTTCCTGATGAAATTTTCCTATTTCTTAATACTTTGCTTAGCTTTTGGAAGGCATCTTTCGCTATCCCAATACGATTTTTGATTTCGGTGTATTACCGGTTACTAAATAGAATGCGTTCGCCAAGGAATCACGTAGCATATTTTATTTAGGTTTCATTAAATTCAAATTTCATTTTTCTTTTTACGAGTAAGTTGTAATTCAGTAGGTTATGATTGGAATTTGGGTGTACACGACTATAAAAAAAGACAATTATTCTCAAATAAGACCGGCAAGAGGTTACTGCAAAATAAATCTCTCTTTTTGTTTATCCTACGTCCCACAATATAGTCAATCCTCCAAATAAAAAATTATGTCGAAATTTTTTTGCATTTAAAAAAATCTTGGCATCACAAAATATTATTTTTATGAGGATATATATTATAAGCTGAAATCCACGTAATATAATATATATATATATATATATATATATATATATATATATATATATATATATATATATATATATATATATATAGAGAGAGAGAGAGAGAGAGAGAGAGAGGGACACGGTGGAGTAGTATAGTAGCGGCTCGAATTGAGGAAGACGAGAGCCGAGTTCGAATTCAGTCGAATCCATTATACGTGCTAATACTCTTGGCAAATGAATGAATGCTCTTCTTCTTCCCCCCAGCTATGGGTAAATAGCCGGACAGACAGGGTTCTACAGCCTTTGATGGCAACTGATCTAGGAGAAGGACAACTCTGAATTCAAAACCTGTGGGTGGTCGTTTAGGGACCTTGTGACACGTAGTGCACCGGACTCTGTATTCGGCCCTTCAAAAAGTGTGGTTGGTTCTGCACAAAGCTTTAACCAATATAATCAAATCATGTTCTGGTGTCTGGCCGTCGGTTCCTAGAAACTCAGCTGCTTGACCCTCATATCTCGAATACGACAGGAGAGTCCACTATATATATATATATATATATATATATATATATATATATATAAATGTTTTTCCCACTTTTATATATATATATATATATATATATATATATATATATATATATATATATATATATATATAAGTGGAAAAACGTTTTCGCGTCTTGTGTTTCTTCTCGTCCTTCAGGACTTCATCAGACTAAAGTGATATTTACTTTGATGCGACTACACATGTACACGAATGAATTGGGACGCTAAAATTTTAAATTAAAAAAAAATATTTTGGTAAAATAGTCTAGTCATTTAGTTTTTCTCCTAAAATTGTTCTTGATATCTAAAAAAGACACAAGATTGTTTTCCCCGTTTATATATATATATATATATATATATATATATATATATATATATATTCTAAAGAATTAATGGATTGATTTTTAATCCGACATTATTATAATTGAAACTTTGCATTTGAAATAGATGCCCCTTTTTATTGATTACACATTGAATATTACGTCTATCGGCCTGTGCATCGGAGATATCTTAGTATTGTCATATATATATATATATATATATATATATATATATATATATATATATATATATATATATATAAAGGGAAAAGGTTATAGTAGTTCCAACGAGAGAAAAGTGTGTATATTAAAAAGAGAGAAACTGCAAACGCTTTTGGTTATAATGTGGATTTTTTTTTTAAATATTATGCTTTATTTTCCATAATTTTGCTACACGGGTTTTCGGTCTCGCGACCTTCATCAAGCAAAGGCTGGAGATTTCCACATATTATTAAAAATAATCAATTTTTTTTTATGTTTTTGGATGTTAAATATTCTCGGTATTAGACATTGTCTTTTTAATGTGTTAGTGACCCAAATGTCCATATCACGTGGCTTTCAGATTATAATATATATACTCATAAGAATAATGTTTTGTGATGCCAAGTTTTTTAAATGCAAACGAAGTTCGACATAATAATAATTACATTGTAGGACGTAGGATGAACATAGAGGGCTATTTATCCTGCAATAACCTCCCGTTGGTCTTATCTGAGAATAACTGTCTCTTTTTTATAGTCGTGTACACCCAAATTCCAATCATAACCTACTGAATGATAACTTTCTCGTAAAAAGAAAAATGAAATTTGAATTTAATGAAACCTAAATAAAATATACTACGTGTTTCCTTGGCGAACGCATTCTATTTTAGTTACCGGTAATACACCGAAATCAAAAAGCGCATTGGGATAGCAAAAGATACCTTCCAAAAGCCAAGCAAAGTATTAAGAAATAGGAAAATTTCATCAGGAACAAAGAAAAGAGTTCTGAACTATTCTGTAATATTGGTCCTACTCTAAAGTAGTTCTCAGAAGACGATAAAACCTGAGGAAAATAAGTGTTGTTCTACAGAAGGATGATGAGAATCCCATGGACTGAAACATGTGAGCAACGAGTAAATTTTAAGTAAATAGAGGGTGGGGACACTTATATTTAGAATCAGAAATCAGTAGATACATTGGGATAGAGAAATATAATCAAGCTTATAATTCCTACTGGGAATCGTCATATAACCTGACGTGCTGTTCACATTCAGCGACAGAGAAGCGTCCGGTTAACAGGGTGCAAATTACCGTTTATAAACACACATCTTCGACGCCTTTTCTCGATCGATAACTTCTGCTTTCCGAGAGCGCATATTTTCTACGAAATTTCTCGAACATTCAGACCGGTAAATGTAATTAAAGCTGTTTAAGAAAGAAAGAACAGAGCATTTACTTAAATACATCATATCTATAAAAATAACGTATAAACAGAATATAGATAGATAGATAGATAGATAGATAGATAGATAGATAGATAGATAGATAGATAGATAGATAGATATCAAAACCGACTGAATTACTGAACTGTGTTACTGATCAAAATAAATTCGTAAATTATTAATAAAGAAAAAAACAACACTCGATAACATCAACTATGAACACGGCTATAATGTGCTGACCGTGTTTGGAAAATAAAACACTAGATGCAAACATAAAACAATTCATGCATTCAGTTAAAAGTAAAAATAAAATCATCCTTGATAATGGCTAAAAGTATAACCAAAAACGCTCGGACATACAAAAGATTCGCACAATTTCTACATAATTTATGTCCATC